CTTCCCACTCTCTAATGTTATTTCAAACTTAAAAGAAACAGAGTTCTCAAATAGAATTAATAGCAAGTAATAAAAGTCCTTCTTGAAATAAAGAAGACTTTAATCCATAGGTTAAAAAAATTAAAAAATAAAAAATAGAAGAAAAACTGATCTGTTATCTTTAAAAAAAAGTTGCAAGCACTTCAATCCACAAAATAAAATTAAACACATTATCCAAAGCAATCCAATATAGGTTAATTTCGCTGCTTATTTTCTTCTGCTTTTGGATTTAATTTAACTTTTAAAAAAATTGGGCAGTCTTTTCCAAAACAATAAAATTTCCTCACCAGATGGACACACTTTCTCTTTCTGCTTCCCTTCCATTCCGGAGCCATCCCAACTTCATCTGCCTGAGGCTGGACTTTTTGTCGACGGCTTGAAGAACTTCTCTTGGATCAATCAGAGACTTTGCAGTGTCCCTGAGATCAGCAAGACATATTCTTCCTGTTCACTGTATCTATGGGACGGTTAGGTCCGATTGGACCACCCAGCGCAAAAGTATCGGCAGCGGTGTCAGAGCACTGAGACTGCATGTCCGTATCGTCGGGATGTTGGCTCCTCCTCCCAAGTTTAGATCCCTGTTAGGACACCAGCAGGACAGCTAAAATTCAAGGTGCCAAAAGCCATAGATAGGAGGATTTTTCAGCCACCTTCTAAGTCAGAGAAAGAGAAGTTCTCTGACTCATCCCAGGGTGATGACACAGGATGGCGTCTCCCTTGCGCAGTGCAGCAGGAGCCAGAGAAAAGGGAGCTTTAGGCAAGGGGGAGGTGATTGCAAAAGGGGATATCTACTCCTTTCTCCTGCTGATTGGAGGAGGGTCCTCCAACCATACATCAAGAACAGACATGCCCAAGCTCTGCTTCAAAGGGCCCGTTTCCTCATTCCTTCAAGGCAGGTCCTTATTTTTATTTATTTATTTTTGTCAAGCATATATATAAGATAACAGATAAAAGTATAAACATGATTTTGAATGCATGAAAAGGATATGAATAAAAAGGGAGCATTAGGACAGGGACGGTAGGCACACTGGTACGCTTATGCATGCCCCTTAAAGATCTCTTAGGAATGGGGTGAGATCAACAGTTTTAAAGGTTAAAGTTTTGGAGGTTTGGGGAAGAAGCCACAGAATCAGGTAGAGATTCCAAGCTTTGACCACTCTGTTTCTGAAGTTGTATTTTCTGTAATCAGGTTTGGAGCAGAGTTGATCCACCTTAAATTTATCTACTTCAGCTGCTGTGGGGAAGAGCGATGGGAGCCATCTTGGTCTTTTGTTCTTCCTTAATGTCCAGTTCCAAAATTGCACTTAATTATACAAGTCTTATTTCAAGGTTCTGGTCCACCTTAAATTTAGTTAATTCAACTACTGTGAAACCAGAAGAGAAGCCGGGGCCATCTTAATATTTTGCAGAGAAAAAAAAAAGGAAGAAAGGGGGGGAACCCTTCATATTTCCCAGTTCTTGACTCTGTTATTATTCTTTCCCTTGCCACCTTCCACCTCGGGTCGATTATAGCCGCTCAAAATATATCAATTGGAACAAACTTGCAGATTCGGGTACATTTCTCTTTGCCTCCTGCTTTTCCAAATTCTGATTTATGTCAGTTGGTTAATTAAAACTTCCTGCACAGTCAAGGTTAGGTTATCAGTTATTAGTGAGAAGAAGTCCTTTTTTCTTGATTTTTTGCAGTGGCTTAAGATATATTAGTTGGAAGGAATTCAAACAAAGTAAATCCTTCGGAATGTTTGATTTCTATTTCAAATCTAGATTTAGAGTTTGCATTTGAGTGGGTTTGTCACTTCTCTGCTTTCTCCCTTTCTGTCCGAATTTGTTTTTGGGGGACTAGTGTTTCAACCCTCCATTTTCCTTTCTTTCTTTCTTTTTGAAAAAAATCTCGATCTGACCATCAGTATTATTTATGCTCTCAAGATTTCTTTGCCTTTTCCAGGTTTGATTTATGGCTGTGGGTTAGATAAATTTTCTTACCGGTCTTTCATCTCTTCCACACCCTCCTTTTCATTTGCTTTGACTGGAAGTCAGCATCTTGTCTGCCATGTTGCAGACTGCCGCCTGACTCAGATTCAAGGGCAAATCTCTGACCTGTGAGGGACCTGTTGCCTCCCTTTGGGTCTGATAGATGCTGCTGTCTTCGTCCCCCTCCGGGGGGGGGGGTTCTGACCCACAAAAGGACCCCCAGAGTTGGTTTGTCAGGCAGGGTTCATGTGAGGCTCTTCAAAGCTCACATCCCCCACATCTCAGAGGCCACTTGGAGGTTTATCTGTGTCCCCAGGGTCACCTGGTTCCTTTAGTCTGCAATTTTTGTTTCCTCTGGAAATCTGTTCCTACTCAGACATCATTCCAAGGGTCTTCATCCCAAATTGTGTAGCTAAAAGTCTGTAGAGTTTCTCAGTCATCCAGGTTGTGATTGTCCCAAAGGTGCCTTTTGGGGGCAACAACTTTTCTTGTTGTTTTTTTCTTTGAAGACATTTGGCTTCTCATCCAAGAAGCTTCTTCAGCTCTGACAGGATAATGGAGAATGAAAGGATTTATATTCTTTTTATATGCCGTCTACAAGGAATATAAATCCTTCCATTCTGCACTACCACATTTGGGTTAATACAACAAGCACTTTAGGGGTGACGGAGTAGGCCTTCTTAGCTCCAGATTATTCCAGAAAACTATTTTGCCTAGCTGCAAATCATTAAGTACAAATGCAGTCTGAACAACTACCAAGGGCTGACCTATTTGTCTTCCCTTTCCAAGTCTGCCCTCCAAGGGCAAGGATTTGGCAATTGTCCTTCCCCCTTCGCATCCACTGACCTCAAGGATTTTCCTTTTGGAGTATTCTGAGAAGCAGGCAAGGGTTCTGTGTCTGCATAATTTCAGTGATAAAAGGACCCCCCCCCCAACTGATCTGGCTCACCACAGAGTCTTCTAAAGCAAGGGACTCCAACCTTGGCAATGTTAAGTTTGCTGGCTGGGGAATTCTGGGAGTTGAAGTTGTCCAGGCTTAAAGTTGCCAGGGTTGGAGAGCCCAGTTCTAAAGGAGGCCGCTTGTACAGATGCCACTGAAAGAGAAGAGCCTGCTGTGCACAAGCTCTTCAGCAGCTCTCCCACCTGATTGTGGAAATGAAATAAGAGGCAGCAGGGAGGTGCCTTGAGATGCTCTGCACAGCAAAAGGTTTGATTTTTTTCTGATGTGGTCATTTGGCTGTGAGCAGCAGCAGCAGATGCCAATTTTCACATTCCTTAGACTGCCAAAAGTACTCCAAAGCCACTCTCAGCTTTGGCACTCCTGCGAGATTTTTTTGGAAGGAAAGCCTTCGCTCCTCTGGCAGAGCATGCGTGCAAACGGTTCCACGGGGAAAAGAACAAACTGGTGAATCAAATCTTATGATATAATAAACATGTATGAAATCACATTCCTCAGCCACCCCACCCCAACCACCCCTGATACCCACTGTCTCACACACATGCACACTGTTCTCTGTGAATTCCTACACAAACCCAGCCCAGTTTCGGGTCAAGCAAAATCCTGGCCCAATAAAAACAGGTCTCCCCTAAAACCCAAGAAAAGCAATTGAGCACGCTTGTAGCACAACAGCTCCTCCCCACCCGAGGCATAGAAGTGTAATATTAAATATTTTTTTAAAAACCTCATGTTGTGAAGCAAAATGTACCTGGAGCCTGCAGTAGCAGAGAACAGCGATAATACACAGTAATATGACAGTTGCTAATATTCCGCCGGTGATGACCACAGTCCCCGCGGTCATCCGACCTCTTCCCCATCAACACCTGGAAAGGAGAGCAGAAAGAAGCATGACAAGAGGGTCGTCAGGGCAGGGGGAGCGTGGGGGGAGCAGGGGCTGCAAGAGAGAGGCCTGTGGCCGTCAGCAGACTCCATCAGCCCCAGGCAGCTCCTCCAATCACTGAAATTGCGTTTCAGCAACTGCCTATAACTGCGTTGTCAAATTCATGGCCGGGGGGCTGGATCCGGCCCTTGGGGTGCTTAGATCTGGCTCATGGGGCCGCCCTGAAACAGTGAAGGACAAGCCCATGGTGCCTCTGCCAGCAAAAACAGGCTGCATGTAACCCCTCCCCCCACCTTTGTTGACAGAGGGTTGCAGGATGCTGCCGCAGCTGAAAATGAAGCTCGGGAGCCCGTTTTTCCTGGCAGAGCACTCAGGCCATTACAGCAGGGTGGGTTGCTGCCGGCATTGCTGCCAGTTTGCTGTGCGTGCATGGACACTTTAGAGGAAATTGTTCTGCGCATGTGCAGAATATTAAAAAATGATTAAAAGCCAAGCTGGCAACTGAGTAACCGGTTCAGGAACGTGTCCAGCCTGCTGCCCCTACTGGTTCAGCGAGCAAGTGCCCATTTCCACTACTAGCTCACCCGAACCGGTAACAACCCACCTCTGCATTACAGGCACTCCCAACATGAGTGATGTTGAGCTACGGCAAGCGCTCACTTCCAATATTTCGGGAATTTTGTGAAAGGCCTCGCAAACTTGCAGGCACTTTGTGTGAAAACTCACTTCTTTCATACTTATACAGTATATATAAAAATATATATTATTTTAATCAACATAAATGCTTAGTGACCATTGCATTGTCTGAGTTATTTTACATGCAGTCTAATAACAACAACAACAACAACAACAACAACANGCACCTGAGGGTAGAACAAGAAGCAATGGGTGGAAACTAATCAAGGAGAGAAGCAACTTAGAACTAAGGAGAAATTTCTTGACAGTTAGAAAAATTAATTAGTGGAACAACTTGCCTCCAGAAGTTGTGAATACACCAACACTGGAAGTCTTTAAGATGTTGCATAGCCATTTGTTTCCTGCCTAGGCAGGGGTTGGACTACAAGACCAGGTCCCTTCCAACTCTGCTATTGTATTGTATTGTATATGCATTAGTAATTTATATTATCATAGCAAAGGTAGTTCACTCTATAGCAGTGATGGTGAATCTTTTTGGCACCGAGTGCCCAAACCAGAATGTGTGCACGCGCATTCATGCACATGCTCACCAGAGCCCAGGAAACTCGAAGACCAGCTGGTCACTGGGTATGCATATGCCATCCCCCTGGTCTTCTGGTGTCCAGTGCGAGCATATGTGAACAAGCATGCCGGAGCCCTTGAAACTCGATTACCAGCTGGATGGCATGCACATGTGCACCAGCCAGCTGGTCTTCAGCTTTTTAGTACTCTGGCATGCACAAAGATTAGCTGGCCGGACGCATGCACACTATGAATACCAGAAGAGCAGCTGGTGATGGGGCATGTGCCCACAGAGAGGGCTCTGTGTGCCCCCTCTGGCAGGCGTGCCATAGGTTCACCATCAGGGCTCTATAGCATGTGCTTCTAGTATATACTTTTTAAAGGGACAGGTGTTTAACATTTTACTTCTAAAAAAATCATTTCACAAAAAGTGGATGTTTTTGTGACCATCATAATTTCTGAATGTATGGATTAATTGGGGGAGGTGAAATGTCTGTTAAATCAGACATTTAATATAGAATGTTCATTAAATCTGAATATTTTATGCACATATATTTTAAACAGTTCCAGTCCCTCTTCAACATATTTTACACATTTATGAATATGATTTAAATGCATACAAGACATTGTATGTTCTAGCTGCATTCTGCTAAACTGACATCTGTTTAATTCAGGGCTTACTGTTTTATCATCAGAAGATTAATTTGATCCTCTGTATTTACCATGTAATTTTAATGAAGTTACTTTGGCTGAGTATATTTTCCTGCAGTACCTTCCTTTTTAAAACAACAATAACAACAACAACAACAACAATAACGCCATGACCGCGTTGCTAAGATCATTCACTGGAAATTGTGCCAAAAGTTTGGATTTGAGTACAGCAAAAACCACTGGGAACATCAGGTTGAGAAGGTTTTAGAGAATGAGAAAGTCAAGATCTTGTGGAACTTCAGAATTCAGACTAACAGGCACTTGGCCCACAACACACCTGACATAACAATAGTTGAAAAGAAAAAAAGTATGGTTCATTGACATTGCAATACCTGGAGATGCACGAATTGAAGATAAACAGCAAAAAAAATCACAAAGTACTGGGACTTGCAAATTGAAGTTGAGTGGCAGTGGAAAAAGAAATCATGTGTTGTCCAGATTGTAATTTGAGCCCTTGGAGCAATACTTAAAGGGCTACCTCGCTATTTGGAAATTTTAAATTTATCAGACTTGAACATTCTAATTCTACAAAAAAACCACTCTACTTGGAATAGCTTATATCCTCCGACTTTACCTTAACCAATCGTAGGTTCTTGGTTAGGACTCGAGCTGTTGAGCTACCAACCAGCTCTAAAGGCTGTGAATCTCACCAAAGATTAATCAAATAATAATAATAACAACAACAACAACAATAATAACAACAATAACAATAACAACAATAATGTTATTAAAATACAATTTCTGTAGCAAAAACTAATACTAACTAAAAGAAACAAGAAACAATAAGTGGAAAGGAAAGAAAAAAATAGGAAATAGAAAGAAAGAAATAAAAATAGGAAATAAGGAACAAAAAGTGGAAAAGAAAAGAAAAAGTAGAGAATAGAAAGAAAGGAAAGAAATAAAAAATAGGAAATAATAAAGAAAAAAATGAACATATAAAGAACTTAGTTTCAAAATTCATAACCACAACACTAAACATTTCTTAGGGGGGGAGAATGGCAGACTGCAAAAGGCAGAGCCGATAACTGCAGCAAAGATAAATAATTAGTGAGTAGAGCATCTCATTGAATATCTCTGGACAAAGAGACGATTTAACATTTCTTCAAGTATTACCAAACAGTTACTTATAATAAGGAGACAGCAGTCTCTAGCAGGTTTTAAGATGAAGGTATAGTCATTTTATTCAAATTGTGGTTATTGCATTAAAAAAGACTTTAAGCCTTCATAATTCCTTTTCCAGCTGGAAACTGCTTATTAGCTACTTTTCAGCTATTAGAAATCTTTGGATTACCAAGTCTGAAAACACTGGGCAAATCTACCTTCAATCCTTAATGAAAGAACATTTTAATTACAAACTTAATAAGTTAAAACATTTGAAATAAACAGCAAAAAGCTAATTAAGGGTTTGATTTTAGAAAATTATAAATGGCTAAGGGTTCAGATAAATTTGAAATAAGATTTTGGAATTAATTATAAAGAAAATGGACGTCTGAATTTTTTAAAAGATATAAAACAGACAAATAATTTTGAAAACTAGGCACTAAAAGGGAACTAAAACTTTTACTGAAAGGAGAAGAGTACACAAACCTGATTCCCCAAATCCTGCAAAATTATAGTATATGTGCTGCAGAAGCAAACACAAAAATATTAAAATATTGGAAATAATGAATAATATTTAAAAAATGGAATTAGAAATTAATAACAGTGTCAGTAGTGATGTTTGCTTCTATGGCTATACTGTGTCTAAAAGATGCTTTAAAAGAAATGGTAAAAGAGGAACAAGTTTTATCTGACAAGAAAGAGAGTGAGTTAATACTAAAAATGAATCTACAAATGACAGGCTACAAGAATTGCATGGAAAAAGAAAGAATCACAGCAAAACCAAATATAAATACAAATATAGTGTTGGGAAGATGCCAGTTTTACCAGTTGGCCATTAAGAAAGAAGAAAAACAGGGAGTAAGTGAGAGGGAGAAGATTTAAAGATAGAGCAGAGTCTTCAAGAATTAAACACAGTGAGTGATAGTAAAATATCTGTAGTAATAGTACACTTGAGTACTATAATATACTGTATACTGTATATATAGTACTGTAATATAGCATTGAAGTAATAGTATAGATTGTTGTTCAATCACTAAGCCATGTTCAACTCTTCGTGATTATAGAATAGCAGACCAGGGTCCCATGTCCTCCACTGTCTCCCTGAGTTTGCCCAAATTCATTGTTCATTGCATTGAAGACATTATCTAACCATCACATCTTCTGCTGTACCCTTCTCCTTTTACCCTTTAATCTTTCTGAAAATCAGAGTCTTTTCTAATAAGTCATCTCTTCTCATTTGGTAACCAAAGTATTTGAGCTTCCGCTTCAATATCCATCCATCCTAAGAGCAGTCAAGGTTCATTTCTTTTGGGATATAGGATTATCCTATAATCCTACATTATAGTACAATAATAGTAGAATATAGTGCAGGGAACATTGAACAGTATAAATAGTAATAGAAATATAGTACAAGACAATAGGCACAGGAGGAATTTGCACATATGTTTGTATGCTTTACTTTTCTATACAGAAAAATAAAAACAAATAGGAAAATAAACAGGAAATTCTATACAGTGACTGTCACAGTCGTTATATTATATGTTGTACAGGAACTCTTGTTTTTTTTTCCTTTGACTACTGGATCTTTTGGGTTACAAAATATGTTTTGGAGGGCTTTAAATTAATTGTGTATGTATTACAGTAATGCTATGTGATTGCAAAAATCTTTTGGTTGTTTCAAAATTGTTTTTTAATATACAGTATTCTCCTTTATATAACTTATGTTTGTTGTGCTGTAGTAGATTAACTGGTTAAGCACTTTTTCATAGTGTGTATGGGTATCTAGTTTGTTGGAAAATATTAGTAAGGTGGTCTGTGCAGGATACACAAAGTGCAACCATGAACAACAAATAGCAGTGAGAATACATGATGGAAATTCTTTAATCTCCCAAGACATGAAAGACTTTGCCATAATTTCAGCTGGGAATATGTCAGCTGTGATTCAAAAAATACCATTAAAATACTAAAAA